AACTGTATTGTTAGTAATTTACTTGAAGGTACCTGCAAGTTGTTGACAAACTGAATTTTGTCTAATCGATATGACAGATACATACAGTACATGTAAATGCCAAAGCAACAAACCTTGCAAAATCTCATTTTGAACGGCCTGTTTTATCATGACTTTGTGGCATCACTACTTCTTGAGACATTGCTTTTGAAACTTAACAGCATGTCAAAATTAGATTCAAAATTATAGTTTTGCAGAAGGCTCTTTTTGAGTAACTTAGTACAGAGATTATTTATGAAGTAGCTAGAATAATTACTCTAGAAAGTTAATTGTACTTTTTTACTTTTTTAACAAGAATGATTTTACGGTACAAAAGAGTAGAAGCCTTTCTGTTGACATTATGTTGTTGACTGATGTTCTTTCTTAATAACATTGAAACATCAAAGTGTAGGAAGCTGAGCCAGCTTGTTTTCTTTGGTAGAGAGCTTCGTAAGCGTTGAAGGAACAGGTAGATGTAATCTCTGTTTCTACTACTGTTACTAATGATCCTGATAATACCTTAAGTTTATTTTTCTGACATCTTAGTGATGTTATTCTCTTTCCCTTGTGAATGACACTTGTTAACATGACAAAAATTAACCAGCCATTCTGTTCATTGTGACATTACACATCTAAAATATGTGTTCTCCAATTCTTCACACCTGTGGGAAGGAGGGATTGCATAGTAGTGAGAGTGCTTGCCACCCACCATTGTGGCTCAGGTTTAAATCCTGGACCTGACATCATAAGTTGGTTGAGTTTGTTGTTGGTTCTTGCCTTTGTCTAATGGTTTTCTCCAAGTTCTCCGGTTTTCCACTCCACATTAACCAGCATTTTTAAATTCTAAATTCTAAATTCTATGATCAAACATATGGTTTTTCATATAGTCACTTACACTCTTCACCATCTACGGGTATATTCCAAACTCACAATGTCACCAGCTCCCAGTTGGCTTGATAGCTCAGTTGGTAGAGCACTACAACAGTATCGCAGAGGTCATGGGTTTGAATCCAGTTCAAGCATGAATTTTTTTCAGGCTTTATTTCCACAGCTGCTTAAGTCATGTACATAACTGCCATGATCATTCAAGTCTTAACATCTTTCTCTGCAGTTAACAGTTCTAAATTCCAATTCAGTCTGTAAACAGTGGTGGAATACCCACCAAATGGGATAATTCCTATTCATGGTTTTATGTTTTTTTGGTTGTAAGAAAATGTTACTCCAGTTTGACATCACAACACAATATCAATTCACAGTACACCTTAGACAACTAACATTGAAGGCTAAATCTGGGTCGAAACAACTCTCCTTTCCTCATTTTGCGGAAGCTATAACCTCAAACAGATATGAAGTATTCTTAAGTTTTTTTAAAAAATTTGTAACACACTTACACTAACATATCTTAAAGAATCACTTAACAAAACAAAGGGGCATTAACTTGTAGAAATAATTTGATTGCATTGACATAAAGTATTATTGAAGCCATTGTTATGTTAACTCAATTTTTGTCAGATTATGCTAGTTTCTTTGTCGTTGTTCCTGACTAATAAACTTAAACAATGTTTCATTGCTTTTCAATTGTTGTGGCTGATCAGTAGCTTGTTTCTCTTAACAGTAACAGTATATTGGCAGAAAGACATTAATTTGATCAAAAGAGACTAAACCAATAATCACTTAGGTTTTATTTTTTGCCATGATACATTCAGATTACGTTCTTCAGTGAGGAATATCATAGTTTAAATTTAATGGGTTAAATGTGTAAACCAACTTGCCCGTACTTGCATAAATGGTCACAATTTGAAATAATAACTATAGAAGTTAAATGATATAGTAATGCTTTTGCTTAGCAGAACATGGAAATGAAAGAATTGCCATTTAGATATCAAAAGTCACAAAGCAGCACTGATTTTTTTTGTTTTTAAAAATAATCTTAAATTTGCTTGTTTGGTTTTCAGTTATTTGTATGCTTCACAAGGAAAGAATTTTAAACAATCTTGCCAAATACAGAAGTTAACCAGTTTTGTGAAACGTAGAACCTGTTAATAGTCACTTGTGCTGCTCGTAGTTTATTTGTGTGGTGTTACCATAATGTTTATGGTTTAATTGCTCCAGTGTAATTTGTACTTCATGTTCATAAAAAGCAGCTAATGATCAATTCTCTAACTTTTCACTAACTTTCCTCTTCTGCCTGTCTTCCTATAGCCCCGCCAAGGTTAAGGAAAATGGCTACAGTCAATTTGGGTTTGAACAGTCGTGGCAACCAAACAGAACAGTCACTCCGCTAACCAAGACACCTGCTATGAAGACACTTGACTTTAACTCCTCAAACTCTGCTGTTGCCATGGATACTTCTCATGGAAGCGATAAAGTTCTTAATGGCACTGACAGTCTGTTACAGTGCGGCAACTCTTCCCTTGCTCATTCCACCATCACTAACTCACCTCTCCAAATGACGTAACCTTTAACTTATGCTAGATATCCTTAATTAATAATTCAATTGTTATTCAATTATGATAATGTAATAATTATTGTTCTACATTATCATAATTGACTGTCTGCATAATTTTTACCAAATGACAGAGTGATGTTGTCTCAGAATCTTTGGTTAATGCTAAAGGTCTTGTAACAAAGTAAAACAATTTCATTCTTTATAAATTTCTTCTTGAAGATAGATCTTGACAGTTATTTCTTACAGAAAAACTTAGTAACTGTAGCATGGCTTGTAGGCAGGAATTAGTTGGCGAGTTAAATAAGAGGAAAAGAAAAGGCTTTTAGTGGGTGTGTGTTTACTGTGTGGGAGAAAGCCAACAGAACCCTCAAAACTCCATGTGTAAGGCCTACTTAGATTGTCGATATCTACTTAATCTCTGAAAGCACATAATTTATTACCAGTCTCTTTGCTGTGGAACAAGTAGCTGGTGTTGGAATCTGAATGTCCAGGTTACAACACAAACTCTACTTACATTGTGGTAAAGATAACATGACTGTATTCGTTCTATGGTATTGAGTAGCATAGTCAAATGACTCCGCTAGTCTTTCCTTCATTTTCTTTATCACAAGAGCTTTATATGCCATGGAGAGACTTATTTTATTTATTGGCTTGGCAAAATTTAAGGTATTGTAACAAAGGCTGGTCCGCTTGTGATAATGTGATATAGATGTAGATATGGAGTTCACCTTTGCAATGGGTCATTTTAGATGTAAGCTTTAATAACAGATTATAAGTAGATATTAGGATGCTGAAATGTTGATCGAATGATTATGGATAGCTCTAATAATTTATTTTACTATAGTGCAAATTAGCAAATAGTTATAGATGAAATTTTGATTTTGGTGAAATGCTGAGGTGATTTTTTTACAGCGTTTACTTTTCTCGATACAAGAAAGCATCTAATTGAACTCTATGAATAATTTATTAGAGACTTCCTGGTAAATGACTGGTTTCTGCTAGAAAAGAGAATATATTTTTTACAAAGGCGATATATAATGTAGGCCCTGATTGTTCAAAGGGTGGATAACGCTATCCACCGGATAAATCACTACGCAGTGGATAGCGTGGTTTGTTTTGACAACACTTATCCACTGGATAGCAGTTCATCCAGTGGATTGCGTTATCCACACTTTGAACAACTAGGCCCAGCCCTTTAAGATTTTAGGATGTTTTAGTGTCAGTTTTAATTGATTGCTGAGGCTAATTTGTCTATCCCCCGAGTTACATCTAAAGAAATGTTGATGGTGCAATTTAGTGGGCAAACTATAAAAAAGATTAGTTTGAATGGCAAAGCACTTGTAGAAGCTTATATGCTTATATTGCTTATATTTGAAATTTTTTATTTCACAATTACCACAAGCACAGCATCACACATCACACCTCTAAGCTGATCTTGAGATCTTCTGTTGGTGGAAAGTCTTCTTGTTCAAGAGGTTTTCCTTCTTCTTTATCATGGTCTTCCTTAAGTTTTCCAGTTAGAATTATTCGTCAACTGTTTCCAGTTTCACTCTAACTCAATTTTCATACTTCATCCATTGTGTGGACAACATTTTAAAATTTAACAAGTTTGTCAGACAGTTTTCGGAAAACAACTCTGAAAATAATGGAACAGTGTGTGTTTAGTTATTTGACTGAATGTTATTCCTGTATAACTTGCTTTAGTAGTTGAATTTAGTCGGAAAATATGGGGTTTACATACTCAGTACAACTAGACCTGTAGATATTTGTCATTTTGACCTCGGTAAAGAATTTTTTCTAAGCAAACTACCCACTTCAGTAAAATAATTTGTCATTTGATTATTACTGCCTGCTGGACAGACTCTCGATTTTAATTGATATTTTCTGACCTGACACGTTTCACTAATCAATATATTTGTATTTTTTGCAAGATGATCTTTAATTTGTCAATCATCGTACTTTTAATTCCCGAGATTTTCCTTCTTGCTCTGGAATGTTTTCACGCTGTTCTTGCTTTGATAGGAAACGTTTATCACAGTCTCACTTTGTCACATTTGTACCCTAACAATACAACTTTTAAAATTACCTGACAATCCTGAAAATGTTAAGGTCAAGTTGAGGAAACTATGGTGTTGCTGGTTAAAACTCCTCTGTTTGCAAGAGTAAAACACAAATGGAGTAAAATTTTTAATGCTTAATTGTCCCAGCAGCCTATCTTTACTGTTCATTAATTTTCAGCGGCGACCCTATTAGTTAAATAATATTTATCTTAAATATTGTAGGCACTATTTATTAAGAAAGAGAAAGTACACTTGTTCCCAGGTGCAAGTGGAAACAAGGGAAACATTTTTGCACGTTCGCAATGGATTTCGGGAAAAAATAGTATTTAAAAACCGTCACCAGCTTCCCAAGATCCTCTTTGTCCTCTTAGATCCCTTCCCATAATTCCACCGTTTCCACTTGTAGGGACTGGGAATGGATTGTGTTGCCAAGTTGTAATTTATGCTTTTCTACAAAAAAAATAGGAAGCCACTGTACCATGTAAAATAAGTTAGATTATTTTATCTTAATAGTCACACGTCTTAAAGATTTGTTGCAACAATAAAATTTGCTCGGCGTATTCTGATTAGTATCCCTTGTTTGTACATCGAGTAGCATGCTGGTTTAGATCGCTCTATTCTTATCATGAGGCAAATTTTGACATGTTGCTTGCAAACTATACTTGTTCGACGTTTAAGTTTCGCGTTAAAGGTGGCCGTTAGTGTTGAGAGAAGGAGATTTGAACGTGCTTGCTCAGAGTTACTCGATTCTGATTGGCTGAGAGTAGTGCAGTTCAAGTGTAACACACCAGTGGCCGGAAAAAGTGTAACACCAGTGCAAATTACATATTGTAATTCTGAATTATGATTGGCTGAAAGATATTAGGAAATTTTCTAAGCCAATGATATCACGTAAAATGATGACGAACAGTTTGTACGGAAACTTTGCTTCTCGAATGAGAAAAAATGGCTCCAGGAAAGATCTTCCGGGACTCTTAACGCGAATTTTTTTATGTTTATACAATTAACAAGTAATACGGTTTTTCTTGTTCAATTTGGAATTAATTTGCACTTGTGAGTTTTTCAAAAAGCTGGATTGCATTCGCCGAAGCGGCTCGTGCAATTTCAGCTTTTTGAAAACCTCACTCGTGCAAATTAATTGCAAATTGAACTCGAAACCGTAAGATTACTTTTACTAATACCAGTAAAATAAGGAAATAATTTGACGCGTATACCGTTTGATAACCTTTTGATGTCATGGGGGACAAATTACGCTCACCAGTGGGGTTTTGGCTTGTTTATTATATCGAGAAATTTCATGCCAAACGTCGCCATAGCGATTTTGTAATTTCATTTGTTAAATTGTAAATTAACGCTGAAATTTCGCGCCAAAATTAAGGAGTAATTTGTCACCCATCGTCACCATTTGATTAACCGTACGAAATCCACAATTCCAGTTTGGATTGTCTCCAATGTGCGATTGTCAATGCTGGTTTCTTTTGACACTGCTTTCGTCTTCCTTTCGTGATGATTGTTATGAAATTCAAACGATTCTTGCAGTAGTAATCGAAGCATTTTTACTGGAGGTACATTTTAGGGCAACATTCTATCTAGCCATGAAACTTCCAAAACAAAAAAATGGAATGACTGCTTCAAGATAGAGAAATCCTGGGGACGGGGGTGGGGTTAATATCTGATGATTTCTCTTAACTGCCATTGTTATATATTGAACTCACTATCTCTTTTCTAATTGGCCGAAAGTGCGGTAAAATTGAGGAGTAATTTGTCACCCATCGTCACCATTTGATTAACCATACGAAATCCACAATTCCAGCCTTCGGCTTCGGCTGATAACCCCTACCTCGACCTTGATTATTCTGGATATCACAAAAACCTCATCCAATAATTGATTAGTTACAGTCGTAGCCTTGTGTAGACGTACCATTTTATGCCTTGGAGTTAAATAATAACTTTTGCGTGTTTCACTGTTGAAGATTGTTTCCCCAAGGTAACTGATGTCATGATTTATTCTTTGCAGTATGGAATGAGCCAATTTTTGACAGGACAATGGGTGACAAATGGACAACGTTTCCACGTAGATGTTTGCGTGACAGTCGGGATATTAGTGTCACGCTAAATGAATTTATGCTGGATTAGAAACTAGTGCTAGTTGACGGGATTTCTTTCAACAGAATTGCTCTCGAAGCAAACAGCACCGTTAATTTTGTCCAGCACTTATTTTGTAACGTAAACTAGTCAGCTTCTAAAATTGTAGTATTTCAATGTCAATGCGGTTAGGATTATTTAAAGAAAGTTTTTTTGACGTTTTATGCCAATTTCATATTGTGGAATTTTCAAATCTAGCAACACTAGTCAAGTAATTCGCACAACCTTGTTTACCGTGCTCTCTCCCGTCGAGAAGTTCGAGGAAGAGAGGAATCTAGGGACGAGTTGTGCAATGCAGACTGTAGATGACGTCACGCGAAAACGGCAGCCTGCAGGCCTTACAATGTGTAAATGGAAACTTGCTTTCAGACTTGTGAGCAGGTGAATTCTAGCGAAACTGTAAAGTTACAGCAGGGTTCAGTACCAATCGTAAAAGATGTTTTAGCGCAGGCTGATGCAAACTTTGACCAACAGCCATGCGACGAAATCCCCCCGCCCCTAAATTTATTGTCGAATTAAATCTCTTAAAATAGCCTTCTAGTTTCTCGTAACCCTAATTTAACATCATCGAAACGAATGTACTACTGAATTCTTTTAGCAATTCAAATTTCCTCAGTTATAGCAGGGAACATTTTTT